TACAGTTTTCCTAAAGAGGTTGAGCTCCCTCCATGAACCTTCTACAAGATCTTCTAGACAAGCTCTTGGACCCTCACCAGGGATGTCTGGCTGACTCCCAACTCCATGACAAGGATCATCTTTGACATGAGACTCTGCCTGTTGCTTTCCTGGGCCCACTTATGGGGTCAGTTCAGTTTGTGAATATATATATTCACTGTGTTGATCACCAGTATTTGTTAGTGGTGAATTCTGTGTTATTTCTGGTAACTTTAATAGAGCAGAGAAGTAGCCTCCATGTCCTTGTGTATTACAGAATCCCTGCAAACCCCTGGTCATGATCTCCTACTCCTGAAGACCAGATAACCTTTTGGGTTGTGACAACTCCCTCTAATCTCCTCCACAGCTCAATTTCTGCATCCCAGAGCCCCAGAGCCGGGCTTGCCTTTCCTTGCAACTGCATCACACAAATCAAAGTCACTTCCCAGCCCATTCCAAACTCTGTTCCTGCAGCTTAACCAGTCATTCCCTGCCTTCTAGGAAGCAGAGATCCACTCCCACAGCCGAGTAAGTGTAGTGCTTGGCACTCACCTCTGCAGAGTTTAATCATCGTGATTTTGGAGCCAAATCCCCAAGGATTTCCTCTCCTCCTGAAGTTCCTGCATCTCCTTCCCACCCTACACAGATCTTATGGTCCTTTCTGTCCCACAACCCATGCGGCCATCTTCCTCTGCTGGGGAAGGAGACTGAGGTACTTTGCATATTTTCAGACACCAATAAATGTATTTGTGTTACAGGAGAAGAGACAACATGCTCTTCATATGTCATCCTGCCTATCACCATATACCGTGCCCCTGATTTTAAAGTTCCTGTTATCAGGCATTAAAATGAACACTGATTATCTTCAGAGTTTGCCCCCTTCATGTACAAGACCCATCAAGGGAAATATATACTGAATAAATGGCAAAGGATATGCAAGTACTACTTGCTTCACACATCTATTTGTCAGTTGTGAAAAATCATCAATCACTATGGCCTCAATATATTTTCCACAAAGAGGATCATAAATCAACTCAGAAGTTTTCTGCAGACGTCTGGATTTCTTATCTAGTTGCTACACCTGAAGGAGCTGGAGAGGCTGATGTTACTGCTCCAAATGTTTGGGCACTCTCTTGAATAGGTCTAGAAAACTGGAAAATTATCAGTATCTTTTAAAAATATCACAACTACCACACTGCAAACCACCTTTTGAATCTCTAGGTCTATTTAGTGGCAGAATTTCAGTATTACACAGATGAGTATCTTCACTACCAAGAGGAAACACATCTTAAAACAACAGCTTAACTGCACAATTAATTCTACATGTAAAAAGGTGACGCCAGCGAGTGCTGTGCCATTCCTGTTGCAGTGAATACAATAGATCTAAAGTACCTGCTCTGCTTCACTTGATAATTAGTGTAAGTAGGGCTATTACAAATTTATGAATCAGGTGCCCTGACTCCATATATGACCTATCAAAGGCAGTTTAAACTGACTTCACCATCTGACCCAACATCATAACACAGAAGTGTCACCATGGTAATATTTCCTAAGCATCCAGCCACATTGTTGTTTTTCTGGGAGCCTGCTATTAAGCAGATGTTTAGTACCCTTGGCCAGGAGCCCTATACAACCTTATGAGAATTCCCAAGAAGGTTGTGAAGGACATTTCTGAGGGATAAAGAGCCAGTGTATCTAATGCACAGAATCACAGACTGGCTGAGGTTGGCAGGGATCTCTGGAGGTCATCTGGTCCAATACCCCTGCTCCAGCAGAGATGTTTGCCCAGGACCATGCCCAGATGGCTTTTGAATGTCTCCAAGGATGGAGACTCCACAACCTCCCTGGGCAACCTCTGCTCAGTCACCCTTATAGAGAAAAGGTGCTTCCTGACGTTCAGAGGAAACCTCCTGTGTTTCAGTCTGTGCCCACGGCTTCTGGTCCTGTTACTGGCACCACTGAAAAGAGCCTGGATACAACAACCTCTTTGCATCCTCTCCTTCAGGTATTCCTGTACATTGATGAGAACCCCTTCTCTTGTCTCTGTTTAGCCTTCTCTTATGCAGGCTGAACAGCCCCAGCTCTCTGTCTTTGCTCATAACAGAGATGCTCCAGTCCCTTCACAGCCCTTTGGTGGAAAATTTATGAAGCAGCAGTCACCTGAAGCCATTAGAATGAACACGTTTAAAATTGCACACATGCTCATTGTGTGAAGGTTTACCCCATAAGAAGAGGAAATTACTTGTTCATCCAGAGAACAGGAAAGCCTGTAAAACAGCCGGGTATGCACTACTTACAGAATAGTTTGCACAGCAGATTAACTCATTACATTTGCAATCTAAATAGTTTCTCTTGGAATGAGATTAGGAAAGGTAGAGATTTTCACCAGCGGGACTTAAGACAGCAGGACACCATCCCTCGTGCAAGCACGCCCCTGCAGTACACCACCCTGGAGCACACTCATGCTTTTTTCTCAGCAATACCAACATTCTTGTCTACTGTCTCCTTGCTAGTTTCATTGGTGCCTTCTGCTTCCTTTCACATGCCCACCACCCATGTGGCCAGTGTGTGCTGCACATTCAGGTCACTCTCATACATTCTTTCCCCCACCTCTTCTACGCAGGAAGGTTTTTCCAAATAAGTGTAAGAAACAATAAGGTTCACACCAGCTTTAGTGATATCTGGATTGTGGATTGGATCCACAAAAGGATTAAAAGACAGAAACATCAGGATTCTTTTATCATCCACAAAAAAAAAAAAATCTGTATTTTCATGAATTCTTATTTTAGAGATTGCATGGCATGGACACAGAACCATAGAATAGTTAGGGTTGGAAAGGACCTTAAGATCATCTAGTTCCAACCCTCCTGCCATGGGCAGGGACACCTCACCCCCATATCGCCCAAGGCTCTGTCCAACCTGGGATTGAATACTTCTTAGGGTTACCTGTTCCAGTGCATCATCACCCTCACGGTACTTCCTTGTATCTAATCTGAACTTCACCTGTTTAAGTTTAAAGACATTCATGTGCAAGTCTGACCACAGAGCTATGATTTGCAGTAACAGTTCCAAAAATTATCACTTCCATTTTATTACATGATGTTCCTCCCAAGACAGTCATTGATGACTGAAGCCAAATCTCAGATTTGTGAGAGCAAAAGAAAAAACAAGCTGACTGCCAAGTGTTTGGCACAACCTCTGCTCTGTCTGCTCTGACCACAGACAACTGAATGTAAATTTTCATATCTCTCCAAAACTCAGGGACACTCTGGACAGCACTGTGACATCAGATGTAAACAGTAAGGTTCACGAAGCAGTGCAGACACGTACCACTGACTTACTCAGCTAGGCTCCCTTTATAGTCAACAAAGGACATGATCCACATCATCCTGAAGTACATCTCAACTGTCAGATAAATGACACTCTAAAATTACTTACCTCATTAAGCATCATCTCAGATACTCTACTATAAACATCCAAAGTTAGATTAAATGAATCCTACCCACAGTATCTGTGAGAAACACTCAGTTTTCTGCAATTTGCTAAAGGACTTCTATCTGCCTGATTTTACCATGACACCTCCTGTCAGTGGTAAATCACTGTGATTTATTTAACATTACAACACTTGGATTGGAAAAGCAATGCAAAAAACAAATGGTGCGGAAAGTATCAGCAAATCTCACTAATTACTTGTCTTCTGCATGGATTTTATAAATCACACCACACTCTTCGGTTTTATTTTCTAAGCCCTAAACTGCTTCTGGCAATGATCCCACAAGCCTGGCTCACTCTCCAGTGCACTATTTCCCAGAAACAATGGAACAAATTAGCACAGGGAAAGCCCCTCCTTGTGCCAAGGATGGGGCTTTCTAATGGGACAGTCTCTGGCTTTCTCTTCAAAAAAACCAATCATCATCATAAACCTTATTCCAGCAGGTGCACAGTGCACTACTGCAACATGCTGTACACAACCAGGTCAGGAACAAATACATTTCATGACATTAAACACGAACCCTTTTCAGAATCATCACAGAGACCTCTAGATCCAACTCCCCCTCATGTGAAATTGGCTAACTGGAGAAAGCTAAGTTGTTTCTTCTCTCTGTGTACATCTCATTTACATATATGAACAAGCAGTATACATCTGTGACAGAACTGCAGCTCATTTCTATATCCATCAGCAATTTAACAGTTAAATATTATTACAGAATTACATCCTTCGGTCATTCTGTCTCCAGTAAAAATTCTCTGCTTCCCTGTCCACCCACATACGTTCTCTACATGTAGCTTAGAGGATGAAAATACTATTTTACACATACATACCTATATACGTGCACACATACATAAAAGCATGTAAAAAATAAGAGATCTAATTTCTAAGGAACGATGTGCATTCTTACAAAGAGTTTGGGCTTTTAACACTGACAACTCAAAAGGCCAAAGACTTTAAAGAACTATGTCTCCAGATTTTGGTCTTTCATTTTCCTCTCCATCCAGCACTACTACTACTACTAATGTCCTGGTTTGCATACCAGGGAAGTGGTAGGCACTATATACACATCCATGCAAGTTGTCAAAAACACAGAAAAGCGTTATAGGCTCCACTTATCTGAAAATTCAGCCTCTCACAATGCTTTCCTGTACCTGAGCATTTATCCTGCTGAACCATTCATGCAGCTGTGATTCCTTTTGCAGCAGAAAATGGCATAAATAAAACAACTGCAATCTATGTTTATAACAATGTATTGCTCAGTCTGACACTGCTTTAATTATAGGATATTTAGCGAAGATTGATTTGGGTTTTCTTCTTTCATGCATATCAGAATTGTGAGTGCCTTAATATGTCAAGCAGGACTATTTCATTTTAACGTATTTGCTGTTAAGATAGCATCAGAAGACATGCAGCTTGCTTTCACTCAAGGCTCATGAAACAACACTGCTATATCATGCATGAAAAGTTAACAACCAATACCATAATACACATTAGATAAATATCCCAGATAGTCAAGCACTCCACAAAAAGAAACTCTCCAGACTACTCTGAAGGAAACCAGTCACTGAACGTCAAGCATTTTCTCCCAGCTGGGTTTGGGCAGAGCACAGGTGATGTGTCTCAGGGGATGGGCTCCATAGGCAGACCTCTTTCAGCTGTGGAAAGGCAGGAGTGGTACCTGGGTTCAAATGCCTAGGAAAGAGCTGGACACTGGAATCACCTACCTCCAGCCACCCCAGCTAATGCTTCATACTCTGTAGCTTCCCACTGAATATGTGATTCTTCAGGTCTACAAGTTCATCTCTTAAAGTCTAGAGCTACAACATACAAAACATCTAAGAATGTTGCTTTGCAGTGAGTTTCTGAACATACACATTCACTATTCAAAAGGCAATTAAAAATCACTGAGAAAACTGCAAGCATCCTCAAGATGTTCTCTGTCTCTGCCACTGGAAAAAACGTTGTCTACCTGTGTCCTGGAGAACTCAGATTAGGAAACCATCCTCTTCATTCCTGCAAGGCTCCCCTCTCTGAGCAGGGGAACATGGTAAACATAACAGGACATCTTTCCCAATACAGCTGCTCAGATATTTCCCCATGCAACTTTTATATCAGCCCCAGGAGCTTGTCCCTCCCAGGTGGTTTTTCCCTGACAAAGCAGCTCTTCCTATGAGCCAGCCTCTTGCTTAGGGAAACCAATAGGACACTTGACACTTTTCTTCACTAGCACTGAGCCACCGGCCCTTAGAAATCCCTATTTACCCAGGAACTTCAGTGCATTTCCAAATGCACTTCTGCACAGCATTATTTTTATACATTTCAGACAAAAATAAAAAAGATTTGGTTTTTACTCACTCTTAGTTTTTTTTGATGAACATTTTACAGCTGTGTCTTGCAGGGCAACCTCTGGCTGAGGACAATGGGGATTCCAGCTTCAGTCTTCTCCAGCGCTGACAGCAACACTTAGTCTCTGTACCACGGTGGTACTCTGCTCCTGCGCAAGGAGAAACACACCATAAATGGAGCATCAGAGCAGACTGAGGAGTACAGAAACTTAACACCGGTGCTTTCTGCAGCATTCAGCTGCCTGTATCCCAGGCAAACCCAGCCATTTCCTCCTGAGGTTTTCACACCCGCTTCCCACTATAAACAAAACAAGTTCAAACCATGGCTCTCCAGTCTGGTTCCCAGCTAACTAATCTCTGAAAAATCAATGCAGTGAGAGCAAAGAGACCTTCGTAGCTTCCCAGAAATCAGGCAACAAATCAGGAAAATCAGGAAAATTACTTGTCCTGCTTCTCTCTCTAGTACCTTCCCCATCACATCTCACTGTCACCCTAGCCCAGGTATCCCATTTCAGCCATGGCACCTAGGTGGGCATAAGCAAGTAAATTTTTCTCTGGCTATGGGAACTTACTAGGTGCATTCATTAAGGTTTCAAATTTCACCCTGTAATGTCTCTCATATTCTCTTTACACAAATACTCCTACTAGCTCCCCATTCTTGCTGGTTTTCCAGGTTTATTTGTTGCCGTAACTGTTGTTACATCCTTTCTGAAGCCACCATATCTCCTCTAAACTCCAGATAGACTACCCTGTTAGCAGTACTTGTGAGCAGATGAAAGACTTACAGGCCTGCACTGCCAAAAAAACAGGTCTCTACTACTCCCGGGTCATAAATTCAACCCTTGAGACACACAGAGGTGGAGGGGCTGGGGACTCATGGTGGTTTCCTTTCCAAAGGTAAAACGTCAGCTCTGTACATCTGTAGAGAAACAAGTTACAGAAGCTTCCCCAGGGCACAGAGGCAGAGCAGCTGCCACTTTAACAAGGAGGAGATGGACCTTTACCCTCCTCCCAAAATCCCTGACATAGAAGCAAAGGATCTGCCAGAGCCTGGCCTGCTGGTAAAACACAGCAAGCCATAAAAGTAAACAATGCACTGAATGATCACCTATCGCCAATGTCACTGCTTGTTCAGCAGTGTTGCAAGTCCTTTGTCCTGCTTGAACTTTTGAGAGCTGCAGACAGAAAACTGCTAAGAATAAATAATCTCTCTTGATCTCTGAAGCAGAAAGCATTGCTGAAATGCCAGTTCAGTGACTTCAATTAGAAAATGCTGTTGGAAGACCTTACCGTCCCTCTTTCATACCAATTAACATCTCAGCATAATTCAGCTGCTTTTCTTATCCTTTTTCCTAACGCATTCAGATCCGCAGATGTGTTTATGTAGAACAAAACTGGTAACACAGAAAGACACCGGAAAACTAACCACTGGTTGTCTGTGACTTGACCTTTTGGTACTGTTTTGCTATGTTCTCAATGACAGTGTCATTGCTTGAAAATACACCTTTCAGTTTCATTTTTATTAGAAATTCAACTGAAATATAGAAAAGAGAGTAAAACAAAACAAAAACTACTACCCAACTTGTATCTAAGCTGCAGGTAGACTATTAATATGCCATGTTCAAGATGAGGTGCAAAAACACAAAGCCTAAAGTTAGAATCACTGAAATGGAAATCAGAGAGAGATCTCCAGAGCTCATCTAATCAATTCTTACAGCCTGGATGAATTTACACACTACTTCTACTTAGGAACACATGGAGTACCCTGAAAACAGGTTCCCAGGTCCCAGAGAGTGTACAAGGAACACAGGTTATGTGCAATTACAATTGCATTTGGGAACTGGAAAAATAACAGGTTCCTTTTTAGAAAAAAAACACAAACAAACCAGAAACATTGCTGTAAGCCTGATTAAACCTAATTCAATTTAATTTTGATTAGCTGTGTCATTGTGTTCACCCCATCAGGTTCAGCAGGCACACAGCTAGTGTTATTTCACACCTGGGTATCTTACCTCTTACCTATACTCCTTGAAAACTACCTACCAACAGAAGTAACTTTACACAAACAGTTCATCTGGCAATTAATGTCTAGAATGGAGACTGCAATTTATGGAATTACCATAACAAGCTGCTAATTTACACATTCTTTATCAAAAACAATTATGGCCTGAAACTTGGTTCAAAGAAAAGGGTCCAGACAGTAAAACAGATGATCCCTGCCCTAAATTTGAGAGAAAAACCAAGAGTCGGCAACTGGGCAGACAGAGATGCTGCAGGAGGGATTCATCAACAATACAGTGAACCGTGTAAGCGCCCAGACATGCTAGCAGCATCTTGGTTACCATTTTAATTTTGCAGGCAACACAGTATAAAGCAAGAGGAGGCACCGAGTGAGGATTCTCAGGCAGCACCATGGATGTTTCCAGGTAGTTCTCCCTGGGCACAAGAGTTTGTGCCAAAATGAGCCGAGGAGGGAACAGAAGGAGACATCCGGAATCAGCCAGGGATGCACTTGAGATCTTAACACGGAATGAAAGATCAAAAGTCACCACAGGCTCCCTCCTACAAAATGGGAACCACCTTATGTTCACCATTGTAAAGAAAAGTGGGATGGTCATGGGGAGGAAGGTGCTTCGGTCAAATCCCTAAGATTAAGGGAACAACCTCTGCAGGGGTATGCAGAGCAGCAGCAACAGGGTGAAATCTTCACATTACCAATTATCACTGAACCGTGTTATAGTAACAGAAGTACAAATTATGAGACAACATTCTGGACAGTTTTAACGATATAGACGTATACAAAAGAGACAAGATGCAGAAATATTTGTCAAGTTATAGGTACAGTGTGGTCACAATCACCGACAGAAATCCTGAATTATCAGGAATCTGAGTGGCAAGAAGAATGACTGTTTTCCAAATGATCCAAAATACAGAATTGCTGCTGATGGTTTGCAAAAGAGGAAAAAAAGCAGAAGTGATGAGACAGAAAAATGCCAGCTTGACCATCTCCATGTCCACAAGACTCTGCTGGAAAGACAGACAGGTATTTCTGGCCTATAGAGAAGATATGTTGGGGGTGCACAGCAACAAAGAGAAGTCTTCAGCACACAGACAGAAGTTGAGCTGATGTTGTCTCAAGGTAATCTCACCCACAAGGCTCAGAATACAAACACAAACGACCAAGGGCACAACCACAGACAACAATGCAAAATGCTGGATGGGAAGAATCCTCCAAGCAAATCACTGTGGAGGCACACGAACCCAAAGAGGACATAATCAGAGAACAAAAGCATGGGTAGGATTTCAAGAACAACACTGGGAACAAGAGACAGCTGTCAGCTAAAGTGAGGCTGAAGAGGCAGAGCAACTTGTAAACCTTGATGAGGAAGATGTCAGGAAAGATGCTGCCCAGAATGAAATGTGCAAATCTGGACCGGAAAAGGCACAGGTGCATTAGAAAGAGGCACTCCACCAACAGCTACTGAAAGCATGTTGAGCAACGACAGAGAGTTGCAGAGGGTACCTAGAAGTGCAAATGTAATTGGTGATGGCCTGTCCTTTTTTCAAGTTGGAAGAGATTCAAGTCAGCTTATGTTGGTATCAAAACCACAGGAACAAGAAGTGAGGGTGGACACTAGCAAAGAGATGAAAAAGCAGTGGAATGATTAAGACTGAGCAGGGCAAGCAGAGGGATTAGCAAAAGAAGGCAGGCAAAGAATGTCTGCCTTTGCCGGAGAACAGACAGCTTGTAAGAAGGGAGAGCACAAGCAGTGAAAAACCATCTTTTGTCAGTCTTCTCTTCAAAGGCATTGTTGAGTTTCTGCACAGAGAGAGAACTGGAGGGAAGAAAAAAAGGGAACCCCCCAACAACAAACCCAAGCTGGCAAAAACCTCACTGGGGCTGCAGAGAGAGAGACTGCAGTTAAGCTGAAAGGACCCATGGCTACCAGAACCAGTTCAGCCTTGAACTGAACCCTGTGTCAGCACAAAGCCAGCACAGGAGCACCTCACAGGAATGACAGAGTGATTCTTGTATTACTCACCAACGAGATGGAGGACATAGCAGAAGAAAATACATACTCTTGAGTATTCTTAAATGAATGCTGGAATGATGCTTGGTATACAGTAAAGAACCAGACATACCCCCAAAGTGTCAACTGTATAAATTATGTTCCTTTGATGCATGCACAGCCTTGTTCACAAGTTGTTACGAAATGCTACGTTTTAAGTTCCTGCCCTCATACGGCTTCTGGGAAACCTGAAAGTTTCACTCAACAAAGATTTATCCAACATAATGAGAGCTAAAGTTCACAGAAATCATTTGGCAGACTGCGCTACTAGATGTACTGTTCAGGCACTCCCCGCTTTTCCCCAGGTTCACTGCTTTAAGGACAAGAGTACCTCTAAAAATCAGTAAGAGATACACTAGAAAAGTTTTAAAATTAGTGATTATTGAGAAATTTCCAGATACTAAAACTGAATAGAGTAAGTTTACTTGAGAGAAAAATATCTAGGAAGTCTACTGTGTTCTCTCCTTGGAAAGGAAGAAAAAAATCCTCCTTTATAGAGTGCCCAAATCACTTTTCTGCTTCATCAAAATTCTGCTTATATTTACATTGCTTTTTCTTCCTTGGAAAGTTACACAAGGCAATAGTCCATCAGACAAGACAAAAGATACAATGGCATGGTTCCAGGAAGCATAACACAGAATTGTTTCAGTCTCATTGCATTTGCTTTCTGAAAACAATCCAGGCCCTACTTAAGTAAATATTTATATTAAATTACTACATCCTTATAAACTGTCAGATTTGCTTAGTGTCCATGATTCAAGAAACATTGTAGGTATTTCCCAGAATGCGCGGCAGTCCAGTCAGGAGGAGGTATTTCTAATTTTCGTTAGGAGGGAAAAGAAGATTTACATCCTCCTGTCTTTTGCATCAGCCATGCAAGTCTTTGTTAAGGAAGTTTAATAACATCTTTTTTCCTCCTTTTTTCCTCCTCCACATTTTTGATGCGTACATTAATCAATTACAAAACAACACTGTAACATATAAGGGAGCAAATTCTAATTGCTGGAGATCAACAACGAAACTTTAATTGACCACAGTAAGACAAGAATTTGAATTTAAGAAAGCGTGACT